AGGCTAGTTTTCCCAGCATTATTTGTTGAATAAACTTGAGGAAGAGAAATTAAAAAATATATATGTCCTGGGTATATTTTTAAATAAATTTTTTTTGCAGGCTTTTATTAACTTGAACAAAACTCACTAAACAAAATCCTGGGTGACAAACAGGAACATGAAGAATAAGAATACTCGAAGTTGTGTTAAAACTTTCTTTTAGTCACTTGTAAATATGGCATTAATGTTCTGTTATTGGGTTATGATTTTTACATGCTCTTCTACCTTAGCATTTTAAGTCAAACTCAATAAAAGCTTGAAACACTGTTTAAAATACATTATTTAATCAAGCTTCTCTATTTTAAATTTTTTCTCTTAAGTTTCTGGAGCTCAGCTTATTTTCTCAGAATCAGCCTTGAACTGTGTAGTGTTTGTAATTTTACCAGACCATTTTCCCTTTGTTGTTACACATTTTGCCTGCATTGTTTTCAGATAGGTCACTTAAGTACTGCACACTGTTTAACTTGATAAAGTTCCAACCATGATCATTGTTGGTGTTAGAGTATTTCTGTTTTCAGCACCCATGTTTTTACTGTATGAAAATGTTTCTTCATCTCTGTAAAACCTTGAATTTTGTACTGTTTCGGCATATCCATCCCTTTGGATTCTTCTCAATCTGGGCAAATATTTAAAGCAGTATCAGACAGATTAGCAAATGAGAAAACAAATCTGATAATAAGCATATGGAAAATCCACATGGTTTTTAATTCTAAGAAAAATGGAACAGACCAGGGATACTTAATCCTGTTTCATTGACCTCCGGCATCAAGTTGAGAGGGTATTTCAGGACTGGCAAAGGGGTGGTTGCTTTATACCTATCAACCAGTTGACCAGATCAAGTTGGAGAGTGAAGGCAGGATAATTTCATTGCTTGAATCAAGCAGGGAGACCTGGAATCTGTCTCAAAGCTCCAACTCCTCTTCCTAAAGGGAGGTAGGATTTTTGTAGGATCACTGGTATTTGAGCAGGACTGTGTCAGGGTGGAATGACTCATGGCTGGTTGCATGGTTAAATACAGTGTTGTGATGCCTCTTCATGGGTCACGTGTCCAGACGGTGGAGACCAAACTCCTTTTTGGGGAAGGATTTTATTATGAAAATGGTTGTTAATGGATCTAAGGTAAAGTTAGGTCACTGAGACTCCTCTCTGCATAGATTGCTTTTTAAACTTGTTTGGGTAGAATGAGTTTGACTCTTAAGCTAACAAGTATAAAAATAGATCTAATACTCTTGATAACACAAGTTTGTTTATAAGCCTTATAGATAACCCTTGGGGAGTGGGGATTTACCTCATCCCCAATGAATGAGTGAATGAAAATAGGAATACAGTAAAGACAGTGAGAATGAGCACACATACACCAAGATGACATACTCATATGCACGTTCACTATAAAAGTATTTCTGATAGTTGTTCTATTTTATTATGAGTGACTATTAGCCTCTTTGTGCTTAATTTATAAGTTAAACTTTATAATAAATTCTTTGTAAAGGAAAAGGTATAGTGTATTTCAGGTTCATAACTTTCAGTGTTTTTAGGAATCACTCATGGGGGTCTTGAACTGTATTCCTCATGAATGGGAGGGACAACTGTGTATACACAAAACACTCACACTCTGTCCCTGATGTATTGTGTATGACTGTTTTTGTACTAAGTGGTGGGATTAATTAATTACAGCAGAGAGTTATAAGCAGCACAATCAGAAGAATTTACTATCTATATCTAGCCTTTGTAGAAGGTTATGAATCTCTCACAACCTGATCCCTCAAAACCTTTAATTCCACCTCGGAGTTTCCCCCAGGTATATTTGAGCAAGAGAACAAACATCTTTCCTTTAATTTTTGTTCTTTCTTTGGATCTTCCAAATATGTCTGGTCCTCAATTCTTGTTGCTTATGAGATTAAATTACTTTCCCCACCTCCTGGCTTTCTTTCCCCTTACAGATGATTTTACACTACGCCAGCATATCAGGTTCTCAGAGTTGGGCTCCACTTTGTGTTCCTCTACTGCCAAAATTGAGAGATTTCCCCATTGCCCACTAAATTGAATAGAAACTCTCCAGCCTTTCTCTCAAGCCTTCGACTATAATATAAGCACTATCTGTCACCCAGACACGGGCATTTTTTTTTCTTCCTGTGATGAGATACTTCCTCTACTTTCTACTTCTCTTGTCCATGCTGTAATAGTTGCCTGAAGCTTTTTTTTTTTTTTTTAGCCTTAATTTCCTCCCTTTCCTGCTACTGTCTGCCTTTAAAATCCTCCCAGATTTCTTTGTGGAACTTTTCACTGTCTTTTTCTATCTGCACATTACTATTCTGTCCAAGATATATTGTCCCTAAGGGTATTTCACTTGTTTGCTGTGTTGTTGATGCTCGTTTACATCTAACCCATTATAATCCATAAGCTTGTGCAGTACAGAGTGCATGTGATCCTTTTTACTGTGTTCCTTTTAAACACTCACCATCATGTCTTCGATATGCTTAATAATTAAGTAATTGAATCACATTCGTAAAAAGTGGGCTTTTAAATTTGGATTTAATTACTGGTGTTTTAGTCTGAGGTCAATAATTAAATCCAATAAAATATTAGACCCTCTTGGATATTTGGCAATGACACTAAGTTTTATGGGTACAGCTCTTGAGGAAACCAGATGTTCCTTCTTTCTTAGGTTGTTAATGTAATGGAAAGGTTCTTTTGTTGTTTGATCACATATTTCACATTTACTCTAGAAGAACTATCTGTGTGCAGTGATGTGCTTGGTACTGTTAAAAACGTAAAAGCAGGCCCTCCATGGTAGAGCAGCGGGTTAAAGCACTGCACTAAGAAGCTTAAATCACTTCAGCATGAGTTTGATCCCTGCCCTGTAGGTGATCACATGGCCTGGCAGACCTCTCCTGACCCACCCGCTGCTCCCCTCAGCAGTGTACTTTGTTGATCTGCCTGTTCTGCTCCCCACTCTGTCTCTGGTGAATCCTCTCACTGCCCCTGCACCTCTGGCTTGTACCTCAGTTCTGTATGCATAAATAAATTTTTTTTTTTTTTTAAAAAGTAAAAGTGGTCCCTCCCTGGTGGCGCAGCGGGTTAAAGCACAGCACTGAGAAGCTAAAGCCACTTCCGCATGAGTTCGATTCCCGCCTGCTCCGGAGGAGACCACATGGCGTGGCAGACCTCTCCTGACCCGCCCGCTGCTCCCCTCAGCAGTGTACTTCGTTGATCTGCCTGTTCTGCTCCCCACTCTGTCTCTGGTGAAGCCTCTCACCGCCCCTGCACCTCTGGCCTGTACCCCAGTTCTGTATGCATAAATAAATAAATCTTTAAAAAAAAAAGTAAAAGCAGGTGGCAGACCCAGGCAATAATTCTCTTGGCTGTTTTATGCAGTCTACATAAGTCAGATTATATTTATTCTTCTGTTTTTATAAGATTCTAAGTAGAAAAAATTATATTAAAGTACGCTAAGAAGTTACTGAAATGAAACACAGGTGCTACTAAAATAGTACTTTATACTGTCCATTACTTCTTTTAATCTTTTTCTGTACATTTTCCAGGAGGTTTGAACATGGCTGTTGATCACAGTTATCGAATCCAATCAATACGAATTATTATTGGTTTCCAGTTCTGAATTTGTACTCTTAGAAAGTTGACAAAACATAGAAGTATGCCAGGCAGAGAGGCATTCCACTTCGTAATAGAATCGTTCAAATGACACGTGCTCTGAAACTGGACTGCCCGTGACCTTAGCTTCTTCAACTGGTTTCAGATACTTGGAGATTGCCGGGGGGTGAAAAACAGTTTGGTATATAAAATACAGTGTTAGAGTATCCAGCAGTGAACATCAACAATGCATCAAAACACCCCAAACCTCAACATACTTGTGGAAGAATTAGGCTTGAAAATTTAATTTTAAAATGGGCAAAGGATATGAATAGGTTTTAGGAAAAAATATCAGCTCTGCTTGCTCCTTCAACATTTTCTAGAACACAATGTTTGCTCTACACATTCATGCTGGATAGATAATAACTACATAAAATATACCCTGATTCCCTCATAAATTCCTTATGAAATAACACAAGTCAGATTTTATACTTGAACCAGCATTTCTTAGATTTTATGCTGGGAAAATAGACTATATAGCATAGATACCACACCATCCTGAAATAGCTTCTCAAATATTGAAGATCTCTATGTTTGTCTTTCTACCTACCTATTCATTCATCTGCTCAATTGGATGGCTATTGTGAAATAATTTGTTTTAGTGAAAAATTGGCAATAATCCAATTGTCTGTCATTTAAATAACCCAATTGTCATTTAAAAGCATCTATATCCTTTAAAAGTCGGACATACAAGGTATATTGGATGGAGTTTATAAAACAATATGCGGTTTCTTCTTTATGTATAAATAGTGGATACAGGTCTATTCACATGTGTTATTTGCATATGTGAGGAGTGGTGAGGAAGGAAGCATAGACAGACACAAGTGTGGAGTTGGAGGAATAGGGAGAAGAATGCATGCCCAGTGATAGGGGATATTACACCTTCAGTTTCTTTACACTTATGTTTGATTCTTTTCAAGTGTATCTTATTTTATACTTGAAAAAAGATGAGGAAATCATAGCACATTTTAGGTACAACTTTATTAAAATTTAAGAAACTTACTTGAAGGGCTATCTTTCTGAAAAATGTGGTTTTCAGGAATGGTTTTTATCCTTGAGAATTCTATGCATGTGAATTTTGTTTTATAATGAGATGGTAATGAAAGATCTCAGATCAGACTACTTTGTGTTATAGATACTAGACATACAGGTAAGAAGTCTTACTCTGTTTTACTAAGCAGGCATGATAAGAACCTGTTGTATGGTAGATAGGCTTGTTAATTGGAGAATTTGTATGTGCTAACATCATTTTCTAAGTTGCTCATAGTTTCTTATGAGTCAGAGAATTCACTCTGCTCTCTTCTATCTTTCAGAAAAGCCCAAGAGGAGAACAAGAAAGTAGTGCTAGCTGGATGTGTTCCTCAAGCCCAGCCTCGGCAGGACTACCTAAAAGGATTGAGTATCATTGGGGTAAGCTTGTACTTAATGGGGAAAAAGAAAATCTGTCACCAAAACATGTGACCACTTGCAGTTATTTCTACTTCTAGATTTTTGACAAGTGAAATGACACCTGTGACTATCCTCAACATACCTCCCTCTTCTGCTGAAGCTTTGTCAAGGCTGTAACTTTCTCATCTTAGCGCAAAGATGAAAGAGCAAACAAACAAAAGGTGCACCACAGAATGGACCTGACTACTTAATAACAGCCTGTTAGAGGCTTGGAATTTGTCTTTCTTTCCAGCATCAGCCTTTGCCACATCATTACTGTTTCCCCACCCCTCTGAACTGCTTGTCACCCTCCCTCCTGTCTGCAGATGCCTATTGTGGAATGCCCCTCCTCCCTTAAACTCTTCTCTCCATGCCCTGGCTCTGCTTCTTGTTCTGGAAAGCTGTCTCTGAGCCTTTGGGCAGTCCTTGGCAATCCTGTGTCTGGATTTCCTTTGCTTCCTCTGTAGTTACCTGACATTGGTGCTATCAACATTTTAATACATTAAAAAAAAAAAGTCACTCTTCAACTTAAATTATTGATGCTGCAATGACAGCTTTTAAATTTTTTTTTTTTAGATACTCTAACCATATTTGTCTAGCTTCCCATATGCATCATAGATAGTAGGCACTCAAGTTTTTGGTGACTGATTACTTATAAGTTTTTTGGTTCACTATCTTACCATTGTATTTTTGTATTTTTGTTGTTGGCATGTTTTTTTTTTTTCTTCTTTTTTTTTTTGCTTTTTTTTTTTTTTTTTTTGGTGGCCTTTTTTTTTTTTTTCTTCTTTTTTTTTTTGCTTGAGAGTCAGCAATGAAGCTTGAAGACTCTCCACTGTCTCTCTTCTTCGTGGCCATCACTGTCCATTTAAACACACTCAGGTTCAGTGAGTGTTTCTTGACCAGATGCTAAAATGCTGGGGCTTCATCCTTTCCAGCGTCCTACTAACGCTATATTCAGTAAGCTCTGTAATTCTCTCCTTTAAAAACACTTCATTAGGCAAAACAAATACATACAAAATAATACATGCTCACAGAGGAAATCTGTATGAACGATTGGCACCTCAATTGAGACTTATTGGCTGTTTGTTTGTTTGATGTATTATTGACAGTTTATTATGCTGTATTCTCAGTGTAATGAACTTGTTTTCTGCTGTGAAGCCCTTGCCCCACTAGCAAATTTAATAATCTTTGAGCAAACATTCTTGTGTTAAACAAACAGAACCTGAATGTTTGGGAACTTTGGTTTGTTTTCCCCATTTGTCTGTTTACATTTTGATTTCTCTTGGTTTAAAGAATGAAATGAATATGGACTTGTGAGTTATCTTTTCATGTCAGACTAACTTTCTCTATAAACATAATCCTGCTGTGTTAGGGAAATAGGAAACTAGTTAAAATTCTGTTTTAGAGATGGAATGTGGTAAAGCTTGGGACTCATCTTTGACTTCACCCCAAGAAATTAAAGTTATCAGAATAGAATTTCTTTCATATGGCACAAACCTCTTGTGTATATTGTGGTAACATTTTGTGGAACTCCATTATGGGCCTTGAAGAGCTCAGTATGTATTATGATGGAGGGGAGTTTCACAAGATAGTGTAAGGGAGGATTCCCAGTGCTGTTGCTGTGGAAGACAGTTTTCTGAAGTAAAGTAAGTCTGTGACTGTGGGAAATAAACATTCTCCCCTGTCTACTTAATTGAACATCATTTTTGTCTTGTCACCTAGTCACATTGGTCATTAGTATCCTTTAGATTTATTTTATTTTGCTCCTTTATGTAAGAAGAAATAAGAATATATTTAAAAAAATGTTACTAGACAATTTATTACTCCATCACCCCAATACAGATGTTACTAACTTTACTTATCACTTCAGACTTTTAAGCTTTGTGTAGTTTAATTCATTTTAATTACAACTACGTTCTGTTCTTATTTTTCCCTGAGCTTTTATTCCATGAACTTTATTTACTCTTTTTAGTACAGGAATTTATTATTAATGGTAATTGACAGCTATCTCAGTAAATGCACAAATTCCTTAGTGTCATCAGTCAATTTCTTTTTTCAGTTACCAATCCTGAAGATGTGGCGTAGGCCAATTGTAGTTGTGGTTTTGACAGGGAAGTAATAAAATATGCAGAGCCTCCCTGCTCCATGAACTTCTAAACCATTTAAAATTCTGCATTAATATTGCATTGAAGAATATGCCATAATTTATTTAATCTTAGTTGTTGAATATATGTATTTTTTGATATTTAGGGTGCAGACACATATATTAATGCATGCAAGGGGCTTGGGAAACTGTTTGCAGGAAGATGTTTGGTGTTGTATTGCACAGTTGAGTCACAGAGTCAAACTGCTGTTCACAGAATTTCCATGATGGAGGGAGTTTTTAGGAGAAGAAGGAAAACCAACCGTAGCTGCTTTCTATGCTTTCCATGTCCATCTCACTTCCTATCACAGAGAGGATGTGTCCGTTCTTTGGGCCTTGTGATTGAAATGCAAAGCTGCCTCTACCTGGGGCATCAGTGGGTGAGCAGAGTACTTACTGCACACAAGTTCAAAAGTCATAATGTTTCCTTGTTCACACATGGAGCAAGCATCTAATAGTTAATATTACCAACATTATAATGTGTTAATTTCCATCAGTATCAGTCTTTAGAAAAAGTATATTTAATTTGTTTGCATAATCAGAAATACAATATGGTGAGAGCATCATTTATTATCCTTTCCCACTGACACCTGAGCTGTCTAGTTGTGATGAATATTACTTGTGTGGTGGTGCGTGGAAATAAAATAATAGAATATTAAAACCAGGTGTAAAACCCATCAACCTCTGGGGTTTGGGAAGTCTGGTGTTGGTGGCAGTAACCTCTCTACTTCTTCTATCTAGGACCATAAAGCTGTGTCATTTCTTTATATAGGGAAAAGATCTTATTAGCCCAAACATTTTTCCTAGCATGGTTTATTCTTTATGTCTAGAATATATGCACTTATAAGTAATCAGTAAAATGTACAAAGTAAAGATCTTGTTAAAATTTTGCTGATCTCGAAAACATTTTATTTTGTAGTGAAAATTTTCATGTCTATCTTGGGACACGATTATGGTTAACCATCCACCTTGGAATAAGTTTTGATGCAGTGCCATTTTTTTGTTAATCATTGTGATAATTTATTTACATTGTTTACTATTTGTCCAGCTGTAGTTACTTCCAAGACCTTGTGACTACTGACTGAACACTGCTTTCCTTCCCTTCAGCTCTTTTATTGGCAGGACGGATTCTTTGAGATTCGTCAAACAAAAAGACCCAGGATGTTGTTCTTAGTTTAACTATGGTAGACAAACAAGGGATAGCAGACTTACTTTAGGACTAAGAAGACCTGACTTCAGATCCCTTATCTCCACATCATCCCCTTTCTTCCATAACTTATGAAGTGCTTCCTGTGTGCTAGTATAATCTCAGGTGCTAGGGATGCAACAGTATATAAAATAACAAGATTTCCTGTCCCCATAGAGCTTGTTGAATTCTTGGGGAGAGACATGTAGTTTGAGCCCATGAACTTCTCCATCTTCCCGGAGAATGTGGTGATGGCATCCTAGACCAGAGGGAGAGTTACTGGTGGAGAATTTCTCGAGAAGAGTCAGAAAGACAGTGTCCTTCATTCAGGAATAGATGTGCGGAAAATGATTGCTTGTAAGGTGGTGTTATTCCTCATAATAGACATTGACAATAGGAACGTTGCTTCTTACTGTTGCAGCAAATCATGTTTACAAAATGGTAACATTTTGTGTGGGTTTCTGTGCTAATAAATAAAATCTCCAACTTGATGTTGGCTTATTAGGCGTATCTTTGTAATTATATCTCCTGAAATCCTAAATAAACTGTGAGTTGGTTCACAGGTTATAGCATTTTAAAATCTGCAGTTCACAACCGAATATTTAACTTGATGCTGAAAATTTGTGAATGGTAAGACTTGCTGTGGTGCAGCTGTGAGCCTGCAGGCAGGTGCACATTTTCTGTGGAGAGCTGATCAAAAACTTGGTTTAATGCAGGTGTCCACTTAGTGCAGGAACTATCGCCAGGTTGATTTGCACTACTTTACACTTCTTTTCAGGCAGGCTGTTTTAATCGTGGGAAGTCAAACCACATGATGACTGTTTCGAATGTGAGCACTTTAATTTTGAAATTATATGTATAAATAAAGCAGCATTTGAGAGAGGCTGTTTTTCAGATTCTGTCTTGCATTGCAAACGGTAAATAAATTCATGAAGTGGAGCAGTGTCACAGTAATTGCATCTTATTTCTCCTTCATGTCTTCTAATACTTTTATTCCGGATTTTTACCTTTTATGATTCATAAGCTAGCTCTGTAACAGAATGGCGTTTAAATTTAAAAGTCCATTCGTGCTTGTAACTTCTGTGACTACTTGTTTTCACGGCCTCTGCTAGTCTTAACTATATATATACAAATCTATCACCTATTGGGTTATGAAAAAAAAAAAAACAGCGTGATTAAGAGCACAGATTGAGGAGTTAGGCCATGTAGGTTCATATTCCTCTTGTTCTTATTAATTTGTACAAGGTACATACTAACCTCTCTGTGCCTCAGTTTGTTCATCTGAAGAATGGAGGGCATATTAGAACTGAACTGAATTGAGTAAGGGTTGAATCACATAGTAGATGTATCACACTGCTTGATGACTGGCACCTAGTCTTCTGTTTCGGTATTATTTAACCCACTTACTAGAACAGTCAACATCGAGCACAGCTATCTGCTTTGGATGAAACTATTTGCTAAAAAAAAGTTGAATGAAATGTTTTTTGCCTAAAGCCACCAAATCTGAAGAGCAGTGCAGTCATGGTCAATGTGCAGAGCATGGTGTGATAAAGGCCTGTGGGTCCACATGGAGTGAAACCCTCCCTGACTTGCATTTCAAAGGCTGAGTAGTGGTCTGAGAGATGGAAAAAGGAGAAGGAGTTTCAGGAAGCA